CAGTTCCGTCACCTGGACCCCCGGCCTCAAAGCCCTCCCTGCTCTCAGCTCACCTTGGCACCGGCCTGACCCTGCCTCCACGGAGCCTGTCCAGCCCAGCCCACCATGCTCCCCTGCTGCCGCCACGGGGCCAGGCTCCCAGGTGGGGGCAGCCCCACACGGTCAGCTCTGGCCTGGCCCTGGCGCTCACTTCCCTGTGCTGACTGGTGGTTCAATGTCCCCGGCTTCCATCCTCTCTCCCTAAGAAAATAATTGTTTAAAGACAGTCTCGGGCCAGCAGGTGGGATGGAGGCTAACACACTGGATTCCACATGGCCGACCGAGTAGTTCAAGTCCCGGACCTAGCGGCTGGAAAAACGCACCTGTGTGTGCTCAAAATCCCGAAAGGAAAATGGAGGCGCCATTATGGCGTGGCGATCATGCCTGGGGGTGCTTTCCTCATCCCCCCCGCCTGCCTCTCTCCAGTGAGTGTGCATGCCCTATAAGAAAAACTGAGAAGAGCAAAAACGGGCTCCCCATGCCACAGCCCCCCTGCCTCAGCCTCCCTGCGCACCACCAGCCCTTCCTGCACAGGTGCGTGCAGGTGCAGGTGCACACAGGTGCAGGTGCACACAGGTGCAGGTGCGCACGGGTCAGGTGCACACAGGTCAGGTGCACACAGGTGCAGGTGCACACGGGTCAGGTGTGCGCAGGTGCAGGTGTACACGGGTCAGGTGCGTGCAGGTGCACACGGGTCAGGTGCACACAGGTGCAGGTGCGCACGGGTCAGGTGCACACAGGTGCAGGTCCTGGTTGCTACATGGGACCAGGGGCTAAGTCCTGGCCCCCTGTGGGCCACCATAGAGCACAGGGTCTGAACGGCATGTATGGCTGGCATGCTGCGTCCTCACCTGGTCCCTGTCTTCTGGCCGCGCGTCTCTGTGCAGGTGGGCTGTGTCAGACTGCGGGAGGGCCAGAGTCTTCTCCTTCCTCTCCAAAGTGTCCAGAGTGCGTCAGGACGGTGCCTGGCGGGGGTCTGTATGGCAGTCTGTCCCCACAGGACTGGGTCAGTGTTCAGGTCTGTAGGCAGTGCAGGCCATATGCGGTTGGAGGTCTGAGGTCCCTCCGCTGGGCCCCGAGCGAGTCCCGGGAACACTCAGGACCTCAGCTCACTTCTGGCTACACGCGAGCCTCCTGCACCGCCAACCACCCACAGCCGAGGTGGGGGCCTCCCCGGGGCTCTGCCTGCTGGCTCCATCTGGGATGTGGATGCTCACGTGCTGCAGCTACCAGGCTGCGGCCCTGGCTCGCTGGGCACCAGGCCTGCTGGTTACACCCCGTGGCAGCCCTGGCTCTGCCTGTCTCCACCTGCTGCCCCGCCTCCCCCGCCCTCTGGGGTGCTCTTTGCCTGGGTTCCCCAAAGCTAGGCTTCCACATACACACTTTGTCCCTGGGACACCACTGGTGGTTATCCCCGAGACCTGAACTGCCCTCTGCTTTCATGGGGGCACCTGGCTCGAGTCTCTTGCGTTACCTGCACTCATGCCAGTAGGCTCGATGTGAGCGAGAGCACTGGGTGGCTTCTCATTTTGAGGGTTCCCCTGGGAGGTGCATGCTCATGCTTTGGTCCTTGCCCTCCTGCTGGCTGGAATGAGGATGCCCAGGATGGAGCTGCAGCAGCCATTTGGGGCCATAGACTGAAGGCCAGCATGTTCCCGAGTGTGAGGCGGTGAGCTAAGGACAGCAAAGTGAAGAGTAGGGAGAGGCTGCAGCATCCCTTTGGTCCTGGCTTGTCCTCCCCCACAGCCATTCCCCTGACTGGCAGCCCCCTCTGTGACGGCTCCCACTGCTCCTCCCTGCTAGCCCGCTTTGACTATGTGGTGCTCGTCAGGTGCTCGGGGGGCCCTGTTTTCTACAGGGACATCACTGAACGTGGCCTCCATTCCTGTTCCCCAGCTTTCCTAAAGCCTGTGCATTCTGAGGCACCCCCCCCTCCCACCCCGCCCCAGCTCCCCTGCACCCCACCTAGCACCCCTGGCATTCGCTGTGTCTGTGAGGTCAGTGAATGCATGTGGCCACTGGCTCTGGGCTGAGGGGCTGAGTTCAGACAGAAAGTGGTTACAGGGGAGTGGGAGACGGGGCCAGGGACAAACAGGCTGCCCTTGGAGGGCCTCTGTGCAGGGCTGGGCACTCAACACACAGGGCCCAGACGAAAGCCCACAGGCCTGAGCACATGAGAACAGCAGGCCACTCATCAGATGCAGGCTGCCTGGGGCACCGGTCCCCGCCACCCGACCTCACTGCACAGATATTTCTGGGGACCCCAGGGAACAGGCGAGGTCCGGGGCAGGGACATTCCGCTGGGGGGCAGATAGCACCCAACAGCACACTGGGGGAACACGGGAGAAGGCCGGGCAGGGCCTGTGGGACAGGTCTCACCGAGACCCTGCGAGGCTGGTGTTGTGGCCAAGGACTGCAGCCTGCTTAGGGGACGGTTCTGAGCGGAGAGGCTGTGGCCCGACCCCTGCCTTCCAACCCTTCCAGCGTGGGACCCACCCTGAGGACATGGGAGGACAGGGGCACCGGGGCATGCCACTGCCGTCCAGGATGCGAGGGCTTGGGGCCTTGGAGGCAAGGCTGTGGGCCAGTGGCGGCGGCAAGGCCAGGACTGCCTGTACCGTGGGGCTGAGGGGCTGGGGCCAAGGCGGCTTATCCCCGCCGGCCGGGGAAGGATCGGTGTGTCTGCGGCTTGTGGTGAGGGGCCCTCTCCAGTGGAGGCTGAGCGTGGATGGGAACACAGAGTCCACACGTGCAGTCCTGGCTGGAGGGGCCAGGCATGGGTGGGGGCTTGGCCAAGGCCTGCCATGGGGCAGCGCGGGGGCCCACGCGACGCGACACACACGACACGGCACGGCTCAGAAACATGTTTATTCGGGTTGGTGTGGCACATGTTCCCCGCCAGCGGCGTACAACACGGAGGGGCTGAGCTGTGGTGACATTGACGAAGGCGGTCGGCCAGGCTGAGGCAGGTGCTGAGTGGGGCGGGGAGCCCGCGCACCCCTCTGCCCTGCGCCAGCGCTGACGGTGCTGCAGACAGGTTGCCCCCCTTCCGTGAGGGGAAGGGCGAGCTGGGCGGGCTGGGCGGGCTGGGGCTGCAGGCGGCAGCTTAGGAGCAAGGCTGTGAGGACTGGCCACACCTTGGGGCAGGGACCGTGGTGCATGTCCAGGCCGGGGTCCCCTTCCGGGCCTTTGCTCACCCAGTACGTCCTCGAGGTCACGCCCTGTGAACCAGTGCAGCCCTCCCAGGCCTCAGCTCCCCAAGACCCCACCGTGGCAGGGCTCTGAGCTCAGCAAATCAGGGCAGCCCTGGCGGCATGGAAGTGGGGGCGCACCTCAAGGCTGGCGGCAGGTGCCTGTGCACGAGCCCACTCTGCCATGGCCCGGGCTCAGCTGGTGGACCCGGCACCCCTCCAGGTCCCAGAGCCGGTTCCCGGAGGTGTGAAGGGGCCGCGTCTCAGATGGAGCTGCACCCCACCGCACGCTGCGGGGGCTAGTGGCACAGGCAGGGGCTTGCTGCGCCCCATGGGCCGGCCACATGGGGATGCTGGCTGTGGCAGCCCGCAGTCCCCTCTGTGCACTCTCCACAGAGGCAGGGCATGGCCGGGAAGCCACCGGGGATCTGGGCAGCACCGCAGGCCCGGGTGGGCACTGGGGCATGCGGCCTGACAGCACAACCCCGGCTGGCCCCAAGGGGCCCTCCTGGGGACTAGCTATGTAGAGCCTGGTCCTTGAGGAAGGCGGCCCTCGGGCCCCAGGAAGAACGGGGCACAGTGGTGGTCCCCACCGTGGGAGGAAGGGTCAGCCCAGCCCCTGGTTTCATGCCAGGGGGAGCGGCTGCCTCCTGCACCCTGGGCCTGGATTGCACCTGTGGGGCTCGGTGTGGCAACACCCCTCGTCCCGGGAGCCTCCTGAGGTCACAGAAGCCCAGCCCAGAAGGCGGAGGGTCCCCAGGGGGCCGTGGGTCCCATTTATTGCTGGTACTGAGGGAGGCCGGGGCGGGGCGGGGAGGGCTGCATCTGAACTGGGCGGTGTGCCGGCCCTGGGCTGCCCGGTGAGTGCCCGGCTAGGGCCTGGGGCAGACCGGTGCTGTAGACCCTGCTGTTATCCTCGGGGCCTGGCAGCCGGGCACAGGGGACCCCACCGGAGGTAGCTGTGTGGCTGTGCTTGGCCCCCAGCCCACGGCTCCACTGCAGGCAGCCCCTGGGCTCCCACAGGCCTGCCCTGCCCATCATCAGGCTCTGCCCCTCGAGCGCCCCCACCCTGCTCTGCTTCCCAGCATGCACTGGGCATGAGGGGTCTTACCCCACAGCCCCGGGAACACACGGCACCCATGGCACCAGGGCCCCCCGCCCCCAGCTGCAGGAGGGAGGACAGCCAGGAGGACCAGGCCCTGCTCCAGGCGCGGCCAACAGGCACTGGTGGGCGTGGTGGCTCGTTCAGGGGGATGCCCGCTTTTCCTGGGCCCCTGAGGGGCACGAGTCTCCCTGGGGAGTGGCAGGCTCTGGAGACGCTGGTGACACGGCTGAGGGCGCAGGGGTGGGGCAAGGGGCGGCATGGGGACCCGTTTGCGTCCTGATTGCGTCAGGTGTCCGGGGAGCACCGGGACTCCCAGGAAGTCGGGCAGCGGGCAGAGGCTGGCAGGGCCTGCTGTTTTAAGGGGAGCCTCGCACCTGCCCTGGCGCCACGGCCCTCCTCGTGCCGCCCTGGAGCCCCGGCGGTGGCCCAGCCGTGGTGGGATGTCTGTCTGCAGCAACGGTGCCGGGGCCCTCCGGTCCCTGACTGCCCTCTGAGCCGCACCTGAGAAGCACCTCTGCCCGCTCTGCCCGGCGGGCCCTCAGGGTGGGCACCGGGCTCCCGCGGCGCCCACCCTCTGGGAGAGCCACGTGCTGATCTCCTGGAAGACGGAGCTGGTCACCTCGGGGAGCTCCTTGTGCAGGACATGGTAGGCACCTTCGTAGATCTGCGGGCAGAGACCAGGCTCAGCGAGCGGGAGGCGGGTGGCTGTGGGGGCGAGGACCTTGCACCGGAGGACGGGCAGCGGGTCTGTGCCGAGGGCAATGGACGGCAACTCCCAGCACGTCCTGGGCCTGCCCGCCGCCATGAACCTCCAACACCCCCGGCTCACACGGCCCCTCGGAGCCCACGCCCCTGCGTGCCCTGCCTGCGGGGGCCTCGGCCTGCGCCCGTGTGGTGACCGTGGCCACTGGCCACCTGTGACCCCACTTCTCAGTGTCGTCCTCCAGCCAGCCGCCTCACCCTCACCCCCGTGAGGCTCGGGCGTGGCCCTCTCCCACAGTCCCTCCGGCCCTGCCGGTGGCAGTGAAAACGCCACATGTGGGCGACTCAGGCTTGTGGCTCTGCTGGCCCCTCAAGGTCCTGACAGCCCGTGGGCACCCAGGGGCCTCCTGGGAGCTCCCCAGCCTTCTAGCAGAGCTCAGGGTCTCAGGGAGTGCAAGCTGCCCCTCAGATCCTGGCGAGTCCTGCTGCAACCCAGACTGGCTGAGGCCAGGGAGGGGTTGTGGCGTGGGGAGCCCTGGGGGGCCTGTCCCCTTCCCTCTCTCACAGCAGTGCTGCCTCTGCCCATGGTCACTGTCCACAGCCATCCCTGCCTGGCCCCAGCAAGCACACCCAGCTCCCCGTCGGGCCTTGGCCTCCGGCTGGTCCTGCCCTCTGGTCGTAGGGTGGCACCAGCCTCCCGCCAGCACCCTGCCCACCTCTGCCTCCTGTGGCCGCTAGAAGGATGCCACTCCTCGGCTCAGCAGGGACAGGAGCCAGAGCTGTCTGTGCAGGGGCCCCGCCCGCCCTCTGCAGAGCCCTGGCCCGGTCAGCCCTGCAGGCCCCTCTGGGCTGCTCGACCACCCAGGGCGCCCCGCCTGACCCCCCACTCTTCCCCGCTCAGCCGTCTGCCCCACCCGAGGTGGGGGCTTGGTCCTGCACGACCCTCAGCCCAGCCCCATGAAGTTCCCTGGACCGAGCCCTCCGGGACCTGTCGCGTTGGCGCTTGCCCGCAGTCTGGGCATGTCCCCGTGCCTTAGCGCGGCGCCGCGGGGGCAAACGGCCTGGTGTGCTCGCGGTCTGCTTCCCCCAAAGCTCCTGTTTGCGGATGAGGAGTGGTGGGGGGCCTGTGGGGACTCCGCAGATTCCCAGGAGGAGCCGGGACAGTGCCAGGAGCGCTGTGGCTCCCCCGCC